GGCGGTGGCACTGGGGCCTCCGGTGGAGCTCCCTATGGGGCCACGAAACGTGTGAGGGGTATGCCGACATGGGTGGGGGACGCATGCGGGCGGTGGCACTGGGGCCTTCGGTGGAGCCCCCTATGGAGCGACGCAACGTGTGAGGGGTGTGCCGAACTGGCTGTGGGTGACGCATGCGGGCGGTGGCACTGGGGCCTTCGGTGGAGCTCCCTATGGGGCCACGAAACGTGTGAGGGGTGTGCCGACATGGGCGTGGGGGACGCACGCGGGCGGTGGCACTGGGGCTTTCGGTGGAGCCCAATGTGGGGCCACGAAACTTGTAAGGGGTGTGCCGAACTGTATGTGTGTGTGGGGGGGGGGGGGGGGGGGGGCGCATGCGGGCGGTGGCACTGGGGCCTTCGGTGGGGTTCCATATGGGGCCACGAAACGTGTGAGGATTGTGCCGAAATGGGTGTGGGGGACGCATGCGGGCGGTGGCACTGGGGCCGTCGGTGGGACCCCCTTTATGAGGCCACGAAACGCGTGACGGGTGTGCCGAACTGGGTTTGGGGGACGCGTGCGGACGGTGGCACTGGGGCCTTCGGTGGAGCTCCCTATGGGGCCACGAAACGTGTGAGGGGTGTGCCGAAATGGGTGTGGGGGACGCATGCGGGCGGTGGCACTGGGGCCTCCGGTGGAACTCCCTATGGGGCCACGAAACGTGTGAGGGGTGTGCCGAATTGGGTGGGGGACGCATGCGGGCGGTGGCACTGGGGCCTTCGGTGGAGCCCCCTATGGGGCCACGAAACTGTGAGGGGTGTGCCGAACTGGGTGCGGGGGACGCATGCGGGCGGTGGCACGGGGGCCTTCGGTGGAGCTCCCTATGGGGCCACGAAACGTGTGAGGGGTGTGCCGACATGGGTGATGATGCTGGTGATGATGACGGCCGTGATGATGATGACGATGATGATGATGATGACGACGATGATGGTGATGACGCTGATGGTGATGATGATGATGACGATGATGATGACGATGATGATGACGGGGGGACAGAAGAAGGGGGAGGAGGAGGAGAGGAGAGGAACGCAGGGCGACGTCTCTTCAAAACGAGGACCCAACACCACAGGATGATTGGGAAATAAAAAAATCATACTAATAATAAGCAAAAGAAAAAAAGAAAAACAAAAAAAAACACACACACACACACACACACAAAACAAAAAAAAAAAAAAAAACTGTTGACCGAACTCATTCTTACGCTGCGCGCTGGGTTTCGACAGGGCCCGAGATTGCCCCCGAGTCTGGGCCCGAGACCGCCCGGGGCGGCTGCAAGAGAGATATCCGCGAAATGCGGCGCGTGGCATATAAGATCCGGGCCAGGTTTCACTGTTCGGTTGGCCGGGGAGAACGAACGACCACAGCCTCCAACTGCCGAGAAGTCAGGTTGGAAAAGGAGGAGGAGGAGGAGGAGGAGGAGGAAGAGGAGGAGAAGGGGGAGGAGGAGGACGGGGAGCGCAGCGCCACACGCGCGTCTCCCGAGCGGCCGCGGGCGCGACCGACGAGCGACAGCGCGGCGCCCTCACGCCGTGGTAGCGCAGAGGGCAAAGTAAAAGAAAGCGTGGAAGGAGGACCACTCGTGGATGAAGCAGTCCAGGGGCAGGTAGACCCACGCGCGGAAGAAGGCCCACACGCGGATGAAGAACAACCCGCCGAACATGAAGCAGGAGAGCGACACGGGAGGACGTAGAAGCCCGCCCTCCTTCGCCTGACCCACAACCCCGAAGCATCGCTCAGCCAAAGAGGGAACACCGAGGGATAGCAAGCACCTCATATCGGAAAGAGATGCTGCCACTCGCTCCGTGGATGGAAGGGCATGGAGCAACCTGCAAATCTGGCACGGAGGGCCCCAGTCGACAAGAGCTTCATCTTCCTCTGGATGGCCGAAGCCCCCCACCATGAAGTCGACGCTGCGCAGTGTGCCGCACAGGCCCAAGGGTACGGTGGAGAGGCGAGGGCGGCCACGCCGCTTGCCAGGACCAGATGTCACCCAACGGCCACTGACTTTGACCCCTATGCCAGTGTGTAGGGTCCTGGTAGCGGCAGTTGTACCGCGAGCCTCACCATGGGTTCGGCTCACGGCCATCGCCCCGCTAGCATCGCTATGGGCTTGGCTAGCTGGGTGCGGTTTGTCAGATTGCCTTTGACTTGAAGCAGTGGCAGCGTCTCGATCAATGAGACTGCACGGACCATCGTGGACCTCATCAACCTCCACACGATGAGCCTCGGAGAACGCATCAGCCGTCACCCCGAATGGCTGCCAGGTGCTTCCAGCAGAGTTGCCGCGCGACCCCTGCCCCGTGACCCGAGCGTCCAGGGGAGCACAGGCAGGCGGCCGCGCTGCAGGCCTGATCGGCAAGACCGCCGACTCAGGCGTCGCCTTCGATGTGAACACGCCTGTCAAGTCGGTTGGGCTGGCACTCGTAAAGGGTCCCACCTTGGCGCTTGCATCGTGGACGCACGCCCTTTCAGTCTTCACGCCAACAGTGGTCCCGAAAATGCCAGTGAACAAACCTGCGGCCCTTGTCTCTGTACCAGCTTTCGCATCCTGGATACGTCCGCTGTGTCCTTGCAAACCTCCTTCGCGCCGAACGGGAGTACAGAGGGCTGGCTGCATCACTGGATTAGTGTCGCTGGTCTTCGACTGGCCCTCTCTGAGCCCTTCCCCCGACTTCGCGTCAGAGAGCTCCGAGGTAAGCACTTGGAACACCTGGGCAACAGGTGGACTGACAGAGCCGCCATCGTCAAGCCCACCAACCTTGCCAGCTTTATCCGTAGGAGACTTCACCGGAGCCTCAGGGAAGGGCGTCTCCATCCCTGTGATGTCTGCGGTGCCTGCGCCATGGGCGCACACACCCTCAGCTAAACCCGCGCCAGAAACAAGTGGTGAGGATCCAACGGAGACCGCATCGCAGGGGACGGAGGATCGGCGCTCATGGAGCGTCGATCCATCTTTGACCTCATGTTCGACCTCTTCCGCTTCCTTAGGCTCAGGCGCCCCTTTGACACGCCGTCGGCGACGAGGCGTACACATAAGAGCACCCGACTGGGCAGGAGGTGCGGTAGGTAGAGCGACAGCTCGTGGATCTGGAGCACCTGCTGGAGGTAGTTGCACACCGCCTCGGAGGTGCAGCCCAGCTTGATGACCACACTCAACATCGTGAGGAAGAACCTGGGCACCTTGAAGGTCTACTGGTGGAAGATCCGCTTCTGGGGGAAGTTCCGCGACCGGTGGATGCTCGCACTCTCCATCGCGAGGAAGAGCATGTGCACCAGGAAGGTCGTCTGGCAGAAGTGCCGCGACTGGGGGAGGATCCGCACCAGGTGGATGACCACGCGCACCATCTTGAGGTACACGCACGCCATGGACACCTCGCGAAGACTCCAGCGCCTGGCGCAGGGCGAGGGCGAGGAACGACAGCTCCTGTCCTCGATGCCCCTGCACCTCGGCGAAGGCGCGGAGGAGGTGCGCCGCCGCCCTGCCCTCCGCGCGGGCGTACTGGGCGCGACGCGCCGCTGCAGTGCGCGGGGGGCGGGGGGCGCGCGGCGCACTCTCGCCGCCCGAGGCCATGGCGGCGGCCGCGGAGGGCGAGGGAGGGGCGGGGCGAGGGCCCCGTGGCGCGGGCGGCAGAGGGGTGCCCCGACCCGCTGGCGCTGGAGGAGGAGGAGGAGGAGGAGAAGGAGGAGGAGGAGGAGGGGGAGGAGGAGGGGGAGGAGGAGGAGCAGGAGGAGGAGGAGGAGGAGGGGGATGCACGTGAATGCATTCGCGCTCGCGCTAGGGCTGCCGTGCAAACCTCGGAAGCACCACCCATCCGACCCAGACGTCTGGCGGCTCTACGTTTTCGAGACAGGGCCCCCTGGACGCCTCGACCCCCTCCCCCAGACCGGCTCTTCTCCGGACTGCAGCCATCACGCTGCCATCTGGAACGTCAAATCAAGAACGACGGGGCATTCTCTGGGCCTGGCGAGCCTTTGGCGACGACGAGGCTCCCCGACGAGGGCCGGTGGCCACTCCTCCAAAGTCGTGCCTGGGCGGTCCCGAGGCCCGGCCGGGCCCCCAGAGGCCGAGCATGGAGGAAAAGAAAAGCAGAGAAGCCTCCAGAGGCCCGAGATGAAGAACAGGCCGCCCCGGCTTCTTCGACCCGCCGGAGGCCGGGGCATGCCCGGGTGCCTTCCAGGAAGGCTCCCGAGGGCACCCGACGGGCCCCCCACGAAACAGGCCCCGTGCGCTACAGGATCGGCGCCGCGCCCAGGCGTGGAAGTGGTGAGAGGGATCAGGCCTTCTCGCAAGGCGGCGGGGCTTCTCAGAAGCCCTGCGGCCTTCCCAAAAGCCCCATGCGGCTTCGGAGGAGGCTCAGAAAGCTTCTCAGAAGGACGGAGGACTTCTGAGTCTTCTGAGAAGGCCCGCCCCCTCTGACTTTCCCCCTTGGACTTGCCGACGACAGAAGCGACCCAAGTCCGCCACCTAATGCTTGCAACTCTGAAAGCAAAAAGCACCACAAGATGCGCTCAATAAGGCCGACATATAATCCAAGACGATACTGCATGAATCAGAGCTGACTTGACTCTGGCCCTTATGATATCACCCCCCTTTCAGATAGCCTCCTGGAAGCATGGATCTCCCCGACAGGCTACGCACACCCCGAAGAGACCGCAAAAGTAAGCCAAATACAGCTTGCAGCATTGAAACGCACATCAGAATCTTGAGTGTGCTTTCCGCGGCACGCTTCTTGCCTCGCGTCTACCTTCCAAGAATGTTCGGAGGGTCACGAAGCTCTGGCGGACCTCCTGGCACCCCAAGGAGGCCCCTTGGCGGACACCCGCGCGCCCCAAGAGACCCCTGACGGGCTCAAGACGGGGAGTGCATTTGAGGGGACTGCATGCGCTCTAGCGAGAAAAGAAGGCTCGGCCAGCAAGCTGGGCGAGGTTCGGGCCCGCCTGCAGGCAGGCGCTTGGCTGACCTACGCCGCCCCTGCCTCATCCTCCTCGGCGGTGGAGTCTTCCTCCTCGTCCTCTTCCGCGTCCATCATTTTCTGCGCCTTCTCCACCTCGCGCTGGAACGCCTCCCTGCGGCTCTCGGCCTTCGCCAGGTCGTCCTGCCTCTGCTTCTCCTGGCTGGCCTCCCACGCTTCGTCCTTCGCCTTCACCTTGGCCGCCTCGTCTGGCGGCAGGTAGCGCACGCGCTTCTTGTGGTGCTCCCTGTGCGCCCTGTTGTACTGCCTCTGCAGCTTCCTCTGCTCCCTCACCTCCGTCTCGTTGTAGCCGTTCTCCTCCCGCAGCTCCTGCACCCGCCTCTCCCACGTCTCCTTCCAAGCAGAGGCCTGCTTGCTGTACTCGGCGCGGCGCTGAGCGTCGGCGACCTGCTGGGGCGCTGAGCGGCGCTGGGTCTCACCAGACGCCTGCCTGCGCAACCAGTCCACCCACGCGCTGGCGTTGGCCCTGCTCCGCTGCTTCCTCATGTTCTCGGCTACGCCTGGCGGCATCTCCCAGCTCAGGACCTTGTCGGCGGCAGTGCTGGCGCCCGCCGTCTGGAGCGTGTGCGAGCCGCACGAGAGGAAGCCAAACCCCGCAGCATCGGTCGCCTGCACCGCGGCGGCGAGGGCCTCTGTCTGAGAGGCCTTCTCCTCATACAGCATTCGCTCCCAGGCCCGCAAGAGTATCTCGGTGACCTCAGGGCGGCGAGATCTACACATGGGCGATTTCGGAAACCCTGAACCCAAAAAATCGTTTTCATCTCTTGGGGGTGCATGTTTTACGTCCGCCGCCATCCGCCGGTTTCCGCCCGCTTCCGCCAGCGGAGGCGGCCTCATTTTACTTCCGCCGACCTTCCACCGCCCTTCCACCGCCTTCCGCCGAGGAAGAGATGACAACTCCTCGATCCTCGAAAGCCAGGCCCTTTCTGGAACGCCTCAAATGTATCCACTACCCCTGATCAGTCCCATCCTGGGCCCAGAAGCAGTGTATGCGCCCTCCTGGGCTGAGCCAGGGGTGCATACGCACCGCTCCTGCGCTCAGAATGGGCCTGGCCAGGAGCAGTGGATATGTATAAATCCCGTCGCCCCAGACCTGCGGCGCGTCCGACAGGAGCATGACGCTGCTGTCCATCTGAGCCAGATCAGCCTGGTCGGTGCAACCCTCCTTTGCGTCCCGCGACCTCGTCAGATCCCTGGCGAAGAGGACCTGCCGGTCTTCACGATCCCGAGGGCGCCACGACTCTGGCGCCCTCGCGAAGAGAGCGTTCGGAGCAGCGTAGATGAGCCTGTCGGTGAGGCCAGCCGCGGCCACGGTGGTGAGGACAGCGTGCTTGAAGAGGCTGCTTCGCACGTCCTGTGCGGGCTGGACCGCAATGCACCTGCTGCCAGCGACCCCGACCGAGTCCTTCATGGCCTTGCAGATGCCCGTGCTGGTGCCGACAACAAGGCTCGCGGCCTCCTCCCCGACTGACTGGAGGCTCGTGAGCATGTTCACGGCCATCTCCACCTCGTCGTGGTTGACCACCGTGAGAACGATCGGGGCCCTGTCGCTGTGACTCGCCAGCTCGGCCACTGTCTGATGGAGCCGCTGCACCTGCTGCGGCCAGAGCATGTCGTAGAAATCCGGGTTCATGGTGTCGCAGCTGAACGTGCTGAAGAGGCTCGTCACGGGTGCATACTCGCGGCTCTCCCCGAAGCACTGCTCATAACCCTCCTCCTGTTTCAAGTTGAAAGTGTCCTCCCGGAAGCACGGCAGGCCGCTGCTGGTTTGCGACGACAATGCGATGTTCATGGGCTCTGGCTTGACGTTAAGCCCCGACTCCGTGGCCATGCGGAACAGGGCCTCCTCGGCTGTGCGAGTGCCGTCAAGTCTCATGTCGCCCTTCTGCCAGGCCTGGTACATGCCGAGCATCGTGTCGGCAGCCTCTCGGCCCATGATCATTGCCTTGTCGTTGATCCCAGTGGAATCGAGGCAGGGCACTGTCGAAACTTGCTGAGCATCCATTTGGAACCCCTGGACGTCGATCAGGTGTGGAGCTATCCAGTAGCCGTCCTCGCGTGCGACAACGACGGCACTGTACTGGTCCTGTCCCTCCTGCGAGCAGCTGCAAAACCCTCCCCCCCACATTGGTTCTCACCACGGGTTTTCCGAGCCTCCCCCGTCAACCCTTCGGCCACGATCTCTAGTTCAGCCTGCATGCTCCTCGTTTGAAGGGAGGGGTCGTGGGATGATTTGAGCGGCCCCCTCCATGGCGCGCGCCGCAATCCACATGCGGGACAGCGAGCGCCACCTGGAAATCACTGCCCTGCCTGTGGGCGTCTCGATCGGACTGTCACGCGTCATGATGTTTCTGTGGGTCGCGTCCGAAGGCAAAGCCACACGGTCCTCACCCTCGAGGTACCACTGACAGCCGGACGCGAGCTGCGCCTTGGCAAGGTCGCAGATGAAGTCCATGACCGTGGTGTTGAAGCTGAGCTCGTCCACGCTGTCGAGGAGGGTCTGGATCTTCGGATCGTTCGCCTCCTGCCGCCTGCTGACCACCTGCTTGCCGAGCTTCGCGGGCGCTGTCAGGCTGAGGAAGAGATCGACCTGGATGCCCTTCTGAGCGTTAGCGCGGACCACGTTGGTCAGAAGAGGCGATAGCACGAGGTTCTCCACGGAGCCCGAAACCAGCACGGCCACGCGGGCGGAGTCGGTCGAGGTCTCCTCCGCACGCTGGCGGCTGCGGCGGTGGAACGGCCATCCTGCCTCCTCCGCCCCAACGGCCGTCAGCTCGTGATCTGCTCGTGCAAGCTTCGGCTGCGCGTCCTTCTGAAGATGCAAGCCCTCGGCGGCCGAGCAGAGGGCAAGCACAAGCGCGCCGACCCGCGCTGGCATCGAGGCGACAAGGTTCCGATGCGGTACGTAGTGGAAGTAAGCGAGTGCAGTGAGCCTGGGCCTGCTCGAGCCAAGACACATGTTTACGACACCTGGTGGGCAGGTTCTGGGGACGTCCCATGATTAACCAGAAACCCGAACCCTTGGGGAGGCGACCTAAGTTAGGAGGGCCAAACACATTAGGGATTAGGGGCTTCTTCTCTGCAGATATATATATATATATATATAAAACCACGCCGCCCAGACTCATGATCCCTGATGCGAAGACGGGGACCTCAGCGAGGCCGCGTCTTCATCGTGTTATCAGGGTTAGGGGGAGGAGGAGGAGGAGGAGGAGGAGGAGGAGGAGGAGAAGGAGGAGGAGGAGGAGGGGGAGGAGCAGGGGGAGGAGGAGGAGGAGGACGAGGGAGAGGAGGAGGAGGAGGAGGGGGATGCCGAGGAGGAGGAGGAAAAGGAGGAGGAAGGAGGAGGAGGAGGCGGACGGCAGACGTGCCAGCAGCCCGGGAGCCGGGCGGGCCACCGCACAGCGCTTGCCACCAAGGAGGCCCCGACGGCGCCTCGCGGCACGCTGGCACGGCGCGCGGGGGGGGGGCTCGGCCGCCCGGGCGCGGGAGGCGCGGCGGGGAGCTCCTGGCCCGCCCTGAGATCCGCCGCTGCCCCCAGAACAGGCAGCATCGCAACAAATCGCGGCCAGGCCCCCGGGGCCCCAGCTTTCTGCGTCCTGCTTCGAGCGGGATTGATCTTCGAGGGTCCCAGGGCCCGAGATCGAGCGAGAGCGCCCGGCTCGAAACACCACAGGTCGTACACTGCGTCTGCCTGTATGCACATGCCCTGGTAGCTTTACAGTTGTCTGTATGTATGTATGACTGTATTTCCCTTGAATATGTAGCTGCGTGCGCGTGTGTGTGGTGGTCGATGTGTGTGTAAGGGCGAATGCGTATTGCAACGCGGTTGCACGACGCATGTTGCACCGCATAAGTTGCAACACATACATTGCATCATGCACTGCATGCGTTACACAGTTCATAGCTCGCACATCGATGCTTATATATATATAGATGTGCTAGTGCATGGAGTCCACACACTGGCATCGCATGTGATTGCAGTTGATTGCGTTGTATGAAAATCACTGGCTTCGCACTGCAGCGCTTTACACTGCTTTGAACTGCATTGCATGATCTCTGTTCTGGTTTGCTTTTGACTTGCACTGTTTTAGACTTCTTGGTGGCTTCGAACCCCAAGGAACCCAGCCTCGGGTTGACAGTGCCACCAGAGCCCTCTTGCGCAGAAGAACTCCACGGCCCGCCAAGCTGGGCCTGATCTGTGAGCATCGATGTTGCTTCCGACCCTCCCGCGAAATATGGCCCTTAAGTGGAATGACACTGCGCCTATCGCCCCGGCCGCCGTCCGCTCCTTCCCCCCGCCCCCTCCCCCTCCTCCTCCTCCTACGCCTCCTCTGGCTTGTGCTCCTCCTCCTCCTCCTCCTTATCCTCCTCCTCCTCCTCCTCCTCCTCCTCCTCCTCCTAC